AATTTTCTTAAATAACATTTTTTTTTAAATTTTGCGTTCATTTATTTATATAAAATTAATTTTTATTTGTATTTCTAAAAGAAATTGTTCACTTTTAATCAATATATCTTTTTTCCATATTTTTAACTTTCCGCTAAAAAAATTGAAAATTTCTTTCCTTGAATTGTACATCAAGTTATGTTTGTTAATTTTTTTTCAAATGTATTTAAAATTTTTTAGGTTTGTGTGAATTAATATAAATTATTATTATAAATTCAAATCACATTATAAATCTTGCACTTTTGGATTGTCTAAATTTTATTTCGTAAAACTATATGATAAACCTGTAATTTAAACCTTCCAGAAAGAAAAGGTGTCTATTATGAAACGGTAGCTCCTGAAGAAACGGGACCAGGTGATAAAACAGGAAGATTACCGACTATCGGTACAAGTGTTGGGGGTGTACAACCAGGAAATTTAAATTTCGGAAAACCGGGTGAACAAGTAATCGAATTAGATGAAGAAGGAGTACCTATTGATACTCCTATGCAACCGGGAGACGAGTCTCTCCCTTGGAGACAAGGTAGAGTTGTCCATCGGGCGCGTCCAATGCAAGTAACTCCTTGGAGAGCGACAAAGCCTAAATCTAGAGATGTTTCCGCTGACAATCTCCAAGCTCGCGTTTCTGAAGTTAAACCGTGGACAGAAGAAGCGGTTGTGCTGAAAAAGGCACCGCAGGTAATTCGTGAGATTCCAAGGGAGAAGTTGGAAGAAGTTGAATTGAAGGCTTCGAAGATTGAGAAGAGAGAGATGGTAAAAGAGACACTCGAGACTGTTGAGTTAAAACCGGTTGTTAAAGACAGTAAGCAGGATAAAATTATTGAGCGACTTTTACGCGAAGAGTATGTCGAAGAAGAAGACTTGTTACTTATTGACGTTTCGCGGAGTGAGAAAATTGAACTGAGTCAGAAGATAAAGCCTTGGACTGAAGAAAAAGTCGCGTTGAAGCCTTCTAAGGTTGAACGGAAAGAAATACCGAAAGAAACTGTCGAAGATGTTCAATTAAAACCCGCCAGGCCTGAGAAGAAGGAGATTGAGAAGCCTAGTTTAGAAAAAGTAGACTTGAAGCCTGTTACTAAAGTTACAGATAGAAAGATAACAGAAACTGGGGAATTTGTTGAAGAAGAAGACTCGGCATTTCTTGATAGGTCAGAAAAAGTCCAAGTGTCTGTCGGAAGTGTACCGCAAGCGAAGCCGTGGACAGAAGAAAAAATTGCGCTGAAAAAATCTAAGCCAGTTAGGAAAGAAATCCCCAAGGAGTCGATTGAGCCGGTTGAATTAAAACCCGCCAGACCGGAAAAACGAGAAATAAGGAAGCCGAGTATCGAAAAAGTTGAACTGAAACCTGTTGTTAAAGATTTTGTAGAGGAAAGAAGTTTAACTTCGGAATATTATGAAGAGGATGATTCTTCATTGATGGAGGTCTCGGAGATTTCTGAGGACATTTCGATTCGAAGGGTCAGAAGACCTGAGCGAGTTACTGGGGACGTTCAAGATCAGCCTAAGCCTTGGACGGAAGAAAAGATAGCTTTGAAGAAGTCTAAGCCTGTGCGAAAAGAGATTCCTAAGGAGAGCATTGAGACAGTGGAGCTTAAGCCGACTAAAGTTGAGAAGAAGGAAATCAGGAAGCTTAGTATTGATAAGGTTGAATTGAAGAAGGTCACTCAGGAAATTGATACGAAAATAAGTAGCACGAGTGATTATGTAACTGAGGAAGATATTACGTTGTTGGAAATCTCTGAAGATGTGTCTATTAAGCAAGTGAAGAGGCCAAGGCCGGAAAGGAATGAAGTATTTGCTAAAGTTGATGAAGTTAAACCGTGGACTGATGAGAAGATAGCGCTGAAGCCTTCGAAACCTGTTAGGAAGGAGGTTGTTAAGGAGACAATAGAGACTGTTGAGCTGAAGAAGGCTAAACCTGAAAAGAAAGAGATTAGGAAGCTAAGTATTGAGCAGGTTGATTTGAAACCAGTTACTAAAGAGGTGGTTGTTGAAAAAAGTGAAGTTACTACTGCAGATTTTAGGATTGAGGAGGATACTAGCTTGTTGGATGTTTCTAGAAAGGAGAGATTTGAGATTTCTAGGAAGCCTGAAGGTCCGAAACCGTGGACTGAGGAGAAGATAACTTTGAAGAAATCGGTGCCTGTTAAGAAAGAAATTGCTAAAGAGACGTTAGAAACTGTTGAGTTGAAGAAAGTGGTTAAGGAGACTGAGGAGGTTGAAGTTGTAGATAGGTATGTGGAAGAAGATGTTACTACCAGGTTAGATGTTTCTAAAGTTGAGAAAATTGAAGTGAGTTTGAGTAGGCCTGATCAACCGAAGCCGTGGACTGAGGAGAGGGTTACTTTGAAGAAATCGAAGCCGATACAAAAGGAAATTGTTAAGGAGACGCTGGAAACTGTTGAGCTTAGACCCTCAAGGCCGCAGAAAACGGAAGTTGTTAAAGAAAGTTTGGAGGTTGTTGAATTGAAGCCTGTTAAGAAGGAAGTTGTTATGAGGGAGGAAATAACTGTTACGGATTCTAGAGCTACGTTTGTTGAGGAGGAAGATACGAAGTTGATTAAGGTGACGAGGGATGAAGTTACTGTTGAGGATCGTAAGACTGAAGAGACTAAAGTTTCATGGAGAATGGGCAAGAAGAAACCTTCTGAGGCTCCTTATACAGAAGAAGAGGATTCTGAGTTTCTGCAGGTTGATAAAAGGGAAGATGTTAGTGAAACAACGAAGAAAACTGAAGAGGTTCCGGTACCTTGGGCACGAGGAAAGAAGGTCAAGGAATTGAAACCTGAAAAAGTTGATGATAAAGTGGAAGAAAAACCTGATGAAGTTTCACAGGTTCCGTGGATTCGTGGAAAGAAGAAGCCAAAAGAGATGACGAAGGTAGACCAGGTTGAACAAGAGGATACGACTTTACTTCAAGTGGATAAGATTGAGGAAGTTACTGAAAAGAAGGAGGAAGTTGCTGTTCCGTGGTTGAGGGGCAAGAAGAAACAGCTTGAACCGGAGGAAGTTAAACCTGATGAGAAACCTGAAGAAGAACAGCTTTCAGAGACTTCTCAGTTGCCCTGGATTCGTAAGAAGCCTCGTAGAGTTATTGAAAAGAAGGAGGAACAGGTTGAGGATATTAGATCTGTGGCTTTGAAGCCTGTGAAGCGGGAGAAGAAACCAGAAGAAAGGGAGGAGAAGGAGGAAGTTGTATTAAAGCCTGTGAAACGGTTGCCGAAAGAAGAGGAAACTACGGAAGAGATTAAGTTGAAACCTGTTCCAAAAGAAAAGCCTGAAGTGGTTCCTCAGAAGGTAGAAGAAGTGGCTGAAGAAGAGAAGCCAATGGAACTCTCTATGGCGCCATGGCAGCGGAAACCAAAGCCAAAGGTGGTAAAGAAGACAATACCGGTTGAAGAGAAGCCAGATGAAGTTGAGGAGGTCAAAGAGGTTTCTGAAATGGAAATTACACAGCTGAAACCTAAAAAGGTTGTGGAGAAGACTGTTATCAAAGAAGCGGAGGTTGAAGATTGGAAATCTGTGAGTTTGAAACCTACTAAGCGGGTCCAGAAGCCTGAAAAGCAAGAAGAGAAGGAAGAAATTACGTTGAAGCCGGTGAAACGATTGCCGAAGGAAGAGGAAACTACGGAAGAGATTAAGTTGAAGTCTGTTCCGAAAGACAAGCCTGAAGTGGTTCTTCAGAAGGTTGAAGAAGTGGATGATGAAGAGAAGCCAATGGAACTCTCTGTGGCGCCATGGCAACGAAAACCAAAGCCAAAGATTGTAAAGAAGACGATACCGGTGGAAGAGAAGCCAGATGAAGTTGAAGAAGAGGTCAAAGAGGTTTCTGAAATGGAAATAACACAGTTGAAACCTAAGAAGGTTGTAGAGAAGACTGTTATTAAAGAAGCAGAGGTTGAAGACTGGAAATCTATGAGTTTGAAACCTACTAAGCGGGTCCAAAAGCCTGAAAAGCAGGAAGAGAAGGAAGAAATCTCACTAAAGCCTGTGAAACGTTTGCCAAAAGACGAGGAGAGTCAGGAAGAAATAAAGCTTAAGCCTATTCCTAAGAAGGAGAAACCTGAAGAAGAAAAACCTAAGGTAGAACTTGAACCGAAGAAGGTCGAAGATGTTCCACAAGAAATTCCTGAAGAGAAAACTCAGCTTCCGTGGATACGTGGAAAGAAGAAACCTAAAGTACAGGAGATTAAGGAGGAGAAGAAACCTGAAGAAGTTCCTAAACCTTCGGAAGAAGTGACTGAAGAAGTTGAAAAGACACAGGTTACTTGGAGAAAACCGAGGAAAGAAAAACCAGAGGAAGAAAAGCCTGAGGAGGTTAAATTGAAACCAGTTCAACGGCCAAAGCCAGAGGAAGAAAAACCGGAGGAAGTTAAGCTTAAGCTTATTCCACAAAAACCGAAGCCGGAAGAAGAGAAGCCTGAGGAGGTTAAGTTGAAACCTGTCCAACGGCCTAAACCAGAGGAGGAAAAACCTGAAGAGGTTAAGCTTAAGCCCATTCCAAGGAAACCAAAAGTAGAGGAAGAAAAACCTGAAGAGGTTAAGTTGAAACCTGTCCAACGGCCTAAACCAGGGGAGGAAAAACCTGAAGAGGTTAAGCTTAAGCCCATTCCAAGGAAACCAAAAGTAGAGGAAGAAAAACCTGAAGAGGTTAAGCTTAAGCCCATTCCAAGGAAACCAAAAGTAGAGGAAGAAAAACCAGAGGAGGTTAAGTTGAAACCAGTCCAACGGCCTAAACCAGAGGAAGAAAAACCAGAGGAAGTTAAGCTTAAGCCCATTCCAAGGAAACCAAAAGTTGAGGAAGAAAAACCTGAGGAGGTTAAATTGAAGCCAGTCCAACGGCCTAAACCAGAAGAAGAAAAACCTGAAGAGGTGAAACTCAAACCCATTCCAAAGAAACCAAAGGTAGAGGAGGAAAAACCAGAGGAGGTGGTTTTGAAACCTGTTAAGGTTCCTGAAAGAGTAGAACAACCGGAAGAAGAAAAGCCTAATGAAATATCTATTAGTCCTTGGAGGCGCGATAAAAAACCAAAGAAAGAGATCGTGCCGGAAACAAAACCAGTGGAAATTCCTGAGGAGGTTATTGAAGAAGAAGAAGTTATTACAACAATACAAATGGAAAAGAAACCAAAGAAAACGAAGAAGATCGTTGAGTTCAAAGAAGAAGTCGAAATAGTTTCGATAGATCAGCAAGAAGTACTTCAAACTGAAGAAGTAACAAAGACTGAAGACCAAGTAGATGAAGTCCAAGAAGTCTCCGAAGTATCGTGGAGAAAAACTAAGAAATCTAAACCAAAGAAACCTGAAGAAGTCCCAGTACAAGTTCCTCAACCCGTAGAAGAACAAGAAACAATCGTCGAAGAAAAGACTGAAGAAACAATTACGCTTAAACGAGGTAGAAAGATTGTTAAACCTGAAGAACAAAAGCCTGAAGCAGTTGAGCTTAAACCTTTGGAAGCAAAACCGATTCCAGAACAACCGGACGAGACAACTGAAACGAGCACAGAAGGTGTTACGATTACAAAGAAAAAGAAGACTATAAAGGCCGTAGAAGTTCAGGAAGAAAAACGCGAAGATACTGTTGAAGTAGAACGGATAGAAAAATCTAAGCGGAAACAAAAAATTCAAATGGACATTCCAATTCCCGACAAAGACGTCGCTCCCAGATTCATTCAGAAACTCCAACCAATTATTTCTGAGCCAAATAAACCCGTGAAATTTACTTGTACCGTAGTCGGTCATCCAACACCTGCGATCACCTGGTACCGAAACGAGCAAGAACTGCATGCTACCGAAAAGTACACCATGACTGTCGTTGAAACTACCGCATCTTTAGAGATAGTCAAAGTTACAGAAGAAGACGTTGGAATGTACACTTGCCGCGCTTCCAATCCTGCCGGCACTGCCGTATCGACAGTCAATCTCGTCATCTTCGGTACGACTGACCGTGAATTTTGCGTGAAAAGCTTTCTGATCTCTAATCCGCCATTTTTTCTTTCAGGATAACTGTTTTGTTTCGTTTTTTTCTCTAATACCTCAATAATACTTTTGTTTTTTTCAGGATGCATGAACAATTGATATTTCTCCATATTTTTAGGACCAAAAAGTTGATACTTGTTATTATTTTACAGAAAAAGAAGAAGAAGGAGTAGCTCCGCACTTCGCAACTCCAATAAAGCCTCTAATGGTCCAAGAACACCAACCCGCGACTTTAGAATGCGTTGTAACAGGTACTCCAGCACCAGAAGTCAAGTGGTACCGCAAGGAAATAGAAATCAAGCCTCAGAAAGGCACAGAGATAACATTCAATCCCGAAACTGGTGAAGCTAAGCTGACAATTCTTGAACCTACACCCCAAGATGAGACGATTTATCGCGTAAGAGCGGTGAATAAGTTTGGCCGAGCTGAATGCCGTGCTAATTTGCTAATCAGCAATGCAGTTGTCGTAACGAAGCCTGAAGTGATGCATGCACCAAGAATCACCAAACCAGTTCCCGCTTTGATTGCTCATAAGGGCAAGCCATTAGTTCTGACCGCAGAATTCGATAGCACTCCTAAGCCCGAAGTAAAGTGGTTCAAAAATGGCGTAGAGTTGGCTCCAACTGACCGACAAGTCATTTCAATCTACGAAAACACCGCCGAGCTGACCATTTCTGACGTTACCAAGAAAGATTCCGGGAAGTACGAGATCAGAGTTCAGAATCCCGTGGGTGAAGCTAGAAGCTCTGGCTCAGTGGCTGTCAGAGAACGGGAAGAGATAGTTGATGAGACTGAAGACAAACCAAAGGCTCCGTGCTTTGTTGAACCCTTAAAACCCCAAATTGTTAGCGTAGGAGAAGTCGTTATCATGGAGGCTGTGGTGGATTCTTATCCTACTGCATCATTCCAGTGGTTCCATGACAACAAACCACTGGAGTCTTCTCCAGCTGTGAGGATTGTCACAAAGGAAAACAGGTCCGTTCTGCTGGTCAAGGAGATCAAGCCAGAAGAAGCTGGTGGTTACACATGCAGGGCTGAGAATGTTGTCGGCTCAGTGACCTGCACAGCCAGTGTCAATATCATGGAAGTCACCTGGGAAGAAACTACTGAACTTGCGTCTCCGACGTTTGTGAAGAAGCTTTCGCCAGTTAGGGTGATGGATGGAGAGAGCGTTGATTTAACGTGTGTTGTAAAAGGCAAGCCTACACCTAAGATCCATTGGTATCATGATGACAAGCCTATCAAGGAAGGCAAGGAAATTACTATCTTGCAAGACACTGAAGGAGTTTGTAGTCTTGCTATCACTGAAGTCTTTCCGGAGGATGCTGGGGAGTACACTTGTCGCGCTCTTAATCCTGTTGGTGAAGCTGTTTGCACGACTTCGCTTATTGTTGAAGGTAAATTGGGAATAAATTTGAAAATTGAAGAATTGGTGGTAAATTTTGGGTTATTTGTTGGTTTAGCGTACGAGTATGTTCCGGATTCAGAAATTGCTTCTTCAGCAGTTGCTGGATCACTGATCAGTGGTTCTGAGGAAGACCTTCTCTCTCCAAAGGTAATATAAAACGAGTTTTAGAAAATTATTGTGTTAAAAGAGGGACGACAAATCATTTATTGATAATTGGTAATTAAATTTGTTTTAAAGGAGGCTCCTCTATCTGATACCGATACAGAGGACTCAGCACCGGAGATTATTAAAACACTTCCTCAGTTAATTCCGGCTAAAGATGGAGAATTGACTCGGTAAATATTTTATAAATTGAGGAGTTCAATTATAAGCTATAACTGATTTTTTTGAAATACTTTTTTGTTTAAGATTGGAAGTTAAGGTAAAAGGTAAACCAAAACCAGAAGGCAAATGGTATAAACAGGGTATTGAAATAAAATCTTCACAAGAATTTCAAATAGAAGAGTTTGAAGACGGTACATCTGTATTAACGATCGCTGAAACTTATCCCGACGATACCGGTGAAATCGTTTTTGAAGCACTCAATCCACTGGGTGTTTCAACTACTACTACGTATTTATCTGTTGAAGGTATTGATTATGAACAATCTTTATCATTACTTATACTATACACTATAAAAATTTGCAGAGTGGATGATTTTTGCTTGTTTTAGCGAAATAAAACATTTATTTAAATAAAAAAAAAAACTATAAAAATCCAGATTTTCTCCGTGCACATTTTTTATTTCTTTCTCTATAGTCCTTTAAGTAAAAATTCACTCGCAATTTTTTTATAGTGTACTTAGCAAAGTAAAAATATTATAAAAATAAATAACTAATGGAATATTTTATAAAAAGTTTTCAGATACTACAGCTTCGCTTCAAATATTATCCTTGTATCCTCACCCTTTACCTTCTCACACTTTAAAAACACGCTACAACGCACCATATAATCATAATTATATTAATTATCGTAATTACCGATCCATAATTATCCAGAATATTCATACTAATAAATACGCTTTGTAATTAACAGGTATTCTCGGAACAAAGGAGTACAGAAAGCCGGAATGGGTAACGCAGATGGAAGAAATGCAAGAGGCATTAAGAGGTAAGGACCGTGTTGATTCACGTGGTAGCATGTTGAGTGTGCGTGGCTATGACTTTTCCACCGACAGCCTCGACGATCAAGCACTCAGAGAAGACGCGCTTTCTTCTCACCGGGACAGTTCCACAATAATCAGCGAATTTTCCTCAACAAAAACGCTCATGAATATCGAAGAAGACAATAAAAAAATCTTCGAAGACATTGCCGAAAGTCCAAAGAGTCTCAAGAGTTTCTTCTTGTCCCGTAAGAGCGCCGAGAATTTAATAGATCACGAAAAAGAGTCTGATAACAACGACAACAAATCTCCTGATAAAAAAGAGCGACGAATAAAAAAACAATTGTCGTTAAAAGAAACGAGAAGAAAAGACAAAGAGAAAAATTTAAAACATTCTGAAGAAAAACCAAAAATCGTTTCAAGATCTAAACGCGATTCCTTTGGTAATGCAAAGTCTAATTCGTCTATAAGAAAAAGTTCTTCTAGTTCGGGAAGAAAATCATCTCCTTCTTCACCTTCGCCCACTTCATCTCCAACTTCTAGGTCTCCTTCCCCGAGAAAATTAACAAGCGAAGTTAAAAACACGACTAAAATTCAAAGAATTGAACGTACGTGCACTAGATTAACTAGAATACGCACACCTCCCCCGCAATCTTTATCACCGACCCGTGCAAAGCGTCCAAGAACACTTGAATCACGCGAAGCGTCTCAATCACCTTCACCGACTCGGAAAAGACAGACTGTAGTTGCGAACTATGCAAAAGAATCTAATAAGCCGGAATTTGAACGGTCTTCTAAGAGCAAGAAGAAGTTAAAAATTGAATTAGATTTTGATGAATACCCTCCTATTATTCCGGAACCAGAGGAAGATCTTTCGCATTTTGATAGAAGAGTGTGTAAAGGATATGTCCAAGTACCTGCTCCCAGCTTTTACTTGTCGCCGATTGAAGAAAACAGCGAGACTTCCAGCAGTAGCAGTCGCAGCAGAAGGGAAGAGATTAAGCACGTACAATTCAGTAGTTTGAAGGAAGAAACTTCTGCTGCTAATAATAATGAAGATGGTGATGGTATGCAGGAATTAAAATTGAACACTGAATCGGGAGATAAGTATTTCTCTTCGCAAAAGTATCATACGTATCCTAAATCTAGGATTCCGATACTCAGTAAGTCTAATGAGAAGAAACTTAAGATGATGGATCCAAGGATGTATCCCTTAGAGCCACGTGAGGTGGATTTAGATGCGTTCCAGCAACTTCATACTGCTAATAGTCAGGAAGAATTGCAAGAGTTTTTGTTGCTAGAGAGCCAATGCAGTGGCTCTTTGGGGTTAGGTGATATGTCGCAAAGCGAAGTTTATTATCAGGATGAACAGAGCGAAGATGAGAGAGGTACCATGTCAGGTAGTTTTGTTTTTTTTTTTTTACTAATTTAAGGAGAAATCCCTTTAGATGAATCAATATTAGTCATTTTTAATGGATGATAAATTGATTATATTATTTTAGAATTTTAATATCATTTTATTTGAACTTTGAAGACTAAGATGAAAGACTCTATTACTGGCACTTTTTCTTTCAATAAAAAAATGTTCTACTTGGATTAAAAATTAAGAAAATTTTGATTTTTTTTTACTGTCAGTAACTAAAAAAAATTATTTTAATTTCTAAAGGGATTTTCCTGTTAATTTTGTAATATTTGTTTTTTTTTTGTTTTACTAATTATGCATGATTGTGTTGCTTGTACATTATTAGATTTCTGATAGTGGAGACAGAGCAGCCACACACTTACCAAAAATATCAGGTATTCTATTTATTATTGCAAAATGATCAAAAAGTGTATAAATATTTATATTCATTATTGTTTAAAGATATAACTAACTATAAATTTTATTTTCTTTACAGCTAGTCAACAAGTTCCGAGATTTATCCAAGAAATTACTGATATTTACACAGAAGCAGGTCAGAAGGTGGTTTTCGAGACTATATACTCAGGAAATCCAGCTCCAGGTAAAAAAAAATTTGAATTCACCAATTTATAAATTTATGGAAGTAATATTTAAATTAAATAAATTTTAATGTTTATTTTTAGTGGTCGTATGGTTTAAAAATGATAAGATGGTTGCTAGTACTAAGAACGTGAAGGTTAAACTTATTGAAGAGGAGAAGAAAACATCGTTGATTATTACGCATGCGACTCCTGATGATGAAGGTACTTATGTTTGTAAAGCTACCAGTGATATTGGACTGGCGACTACCAAAGCTAAATTAAGAGTAACTGGTAAGTAATTTAATATTATAATTTTTGTAAAAGTTAGAAGAGAAATTAATTTTTTTTTTTTTATCAAGGCACTTATGAACTTGGAGAAGATGACTGGGAAGCTGAGGAGCAGCCGGAAGAAGTACCAACCAGAAAGAAGAGACAGGAAACTAGAAGAGCCAAAGAAACTAAAGAGAAAATAAAAGCTCTTAAGGTTAGAGTTGAGCAACGAAAGGAAGCGAAGAGGGAAAAAGCTATTGCTAGTGAACAGCCTGATGATAAGTAAGTGAATTAACTTTTCATGATTACTAGCAACCTTGCAGTCACTATGTGACTGCCGTGACTCGTGAACTATAAATAAATAAAATTTTGGTTTATTAAATGATGACTTTTGTTAAATTGCTCTGTACTTTTTTAAATATTAATCTTTTTAAAGATATAAGCTCATCCTGATGTTATACTCATCAAGAGCTTTCGTTTGAGTACCCACATGCATTTTTTATATATTTTTCATATATACATAAATATGATATATATATATATATAAATATATGAAAAAAATTGATGTGGGTACTCAAATGAAAGATCTCGATGAGTATAACATCGGGATGAGCTTATATCTTGGAAAATGTCAACATTTCACAAGATAAAAGGTCATTTCTTAACTATTGACGTTTTTAAAGATATAAGCTCATCCTGAGGTTATACTCATCAAAAGCTTTCATTTGAGTACCCACATGGCATTTTGATATATTTTTCATATATACATATACATAATATATATAAATATATAAAATATATGAAAAATTGATGTGGGTACTCAAATGAAAGGTCTCGATGTGTGTAACATTGGGATGAGCTTATATCTTAAAAATATCAACTTAAAAAAAAGTATAATTTTAAACAATGATAATAGATCAACAAATTAATTGATGACTTTTTTTTTGTAGGAGTATTGTCGATATTGAAGAAAATCAAGTCTTCGAGACAACAGATCAGATTCAACATAAAACCTACGAAACAACGAAAGCGCATCGAGTAGTTTCGGTTCAGGAGCCAGTAATAACAGAAGCAACAGCTTCATTGAAGAAAGTCGATGAAAAGACACAAAAAATCGTGCCTAGACGCGAAGATCGAGCTCAGGTTACTTCTGAAACCTTCGAGACTGTTTCCGTATCTGAAGTCCATACTGAGACGAACATCCAGGAATTAAAGAGAGTTGAAGCCAAGACACGCAAAGCTAAAAAGACGGTAGAAGCAGAAAAGAAGGACCGAAGGAGAGAAGTTGAAGTTACTATCGAAGAGGTTATCAAGAAGCAGAAAGTTCATCTTCTGAGAGCCGTTGAAGAAATTATGGAGCTTCTGAATGTCAAAGAGTTTGGACCTGGTGAATCGCCGCTTCGTGAGCTCGCTACTATAGGATTTCTGGTCAGCAATGGAGTTCCGGTCAGCGAAATAAATGAAGCTCTCTATAGAACCGATCAATTCCCGGCATTGAGAACTCCGGATGCACAAAATGCTCTAGTTCAATTGGTTGAGAGAGAAGGCCACGGCGCTTTGATTACCCAAGTCCTTACTGAAGAAACTACTACTGATGAAGCTATTGTCGCGGCTACTGTTGGTTTCCGAGCTTTTATGAGGATGATTGAGCTTGTACACACTACCGTTGAAGAAGTTATTACTCATTTCGCTCCCGAGGACTTCCGTCCAAGAGCTTGGGAAGTCACTGAAATTACTGAGGTATTTTTTGCTAATTTTTTTAAGGTAGTTTGGTAGCCAAATCATATGAAATTGACTCCAATTTTTGTTTTTTATTCAAAACATTATTGTTTTTCTACTTATGGAAATTTTGCTTTATTAAATAATAACATCTGTTAAATTGCACTGTACTTTCTTAAATATTGACCTTTTTAAAGATATAAGCTCATCCTGATGTTACACTCATCAAGAGCTTTCATTTGAGTACCCACATGGCATTTTGATATATTTTTCATATATACATATATATAATATATATAAATATACAAAATATATGAAAAATTGATGTGGGTATTCAAATGAAAGGTCTCGATGAGTATACTGTCGTAGTGAGCTTATATTTTAAAAAATATCAATAGTTCACAAGATACAAGGTCATTTCTTAATTATATATCTAGAAATAGAGCATTTTCGAATGCAGCCTAAATACTTATCGTAATAAATTGACGATTACTTGTAAAAGAAAGAAAAAACC